CAGTAAGCCTGGCAAGAAGCAATGTTGTCATTGCTTCAAATTCTGACCTTTACCATGGCATTCTCTACTTCAGCTATGTTTCCTCACTTTCTACTGTCTGTCCTTAGCCAAAGCCCTACAAGACTGTGCAACAGGGTGGGAGAGGAGCAGAGAGTGAGAGAAGCACCATAACTATGAAATCCATATTATCTTAGTCACAAAACCACAAAATAAGCAATATGTTTGTTAAACTTTAGTGACCATTAATGAAGCACTGAACTAGTCTTCACATGTGATAAGTTGAAGTCAAATGCTTTGGGCTTTATAGCTTAGGGGTCCCTACAGAACTATCCTCCAATCCTTCTGTTCACTGAGAGAGAAGGGAACTACAGATCTTGCTTTTATTGATCTGATCTAAAACAGGATTTTCTTTGTAAAATTTTCTACTCAATCATTAAGTAGTATAACTTACTAACAATTAAATAAATGAAGGTCTATAAGCTGATGAAGGGTAGGGTAAAAAGAACCAAGAAAACAATGTAAATGATGATTTCAACAATGTAAATAGAAAGAACCAAAAAAATGAAATTTAATGCTGTGTAAACATAATAACCCTGCTTGGCCTCAGAGAAGAGTTGGGAAAATGCACCTCCTTCCTTTCTTTGCAGGAGTTACTGGGTAGGGTTTTAGATACTGTATATATCAGCAGATCCAGTGATAGTGATAGAGTGGCTTGTTCTGAGGAACTGATTTTTTTTCTTTTTCTTTTTTTATTCTTTGTTAGAATGGATGGCTCATTGTGGAGGAGAGGGATATATTTGGAAATGTAGGTAATGTAAAAAGAAAAAGGTAAAAGTATTGAAAAATAAGTTTTTTAGTCTTCTCTGAAGAGCTTTAATAAAGAAAAAAATTTCAATTATTTGCCTATAATATCTAAACCATTAGTACTTGAAGACAATATATTACTAAATGATCTCTTGGTAGAAACTGGCCTCATCAGCAGATAGAATATTCTGCCATTTGCTGTTGTTCTTCAGTCATTTTTCAGTCATGTTAGACTCTTTGTGACTCCATTTTTGAGGTTTTCTTAGTTGAGATACTGGAATGGTTTTCCTTCTCAGCCCACTTTACAGATAAGGAACTGAGGCAAACAGGGTTAAGTGACTTCACACAGCTAGTAAGTGTCTGAGGCCAGACTTGAACTTACGAAGATGAGTCTTCCTGACTCCAGGCCTGACACTATCCACTGCACCACCTAGCTGATTCTGCCACTTACATGGTATGGTCTGAAGCTCAGGGAACAGCTTCTCTTACTTAAAAATGTTCCTTTCACTTTGTGTCATTTTTATGTGAGGGATATTTAAAGGATTCTTCCTTAATATGATAAAGAGTATTTATTCAAAACTGAGTTATCGTTATATAAAACAGAGAAACATCAGAATCCTTCATTACAGAAAGGGGTAAGGTTTAGGGGTGGGTTCACTTGCCACTACTATTGAATAGTTTTGTAGCAAGAAAGTGTGAAAAAGACAATACAGAAACTAGCATAGCCAATTATGAGATCAAATACCTCTATTTGCAGATAATACGATGGCTTATTTACAAAACCCAAGAGCCTCAATAAAAAATGAATCAAGGTAATAAGTCATTTCAGCAAAACAGTGATATTCATGGAGTAGTGGACAGAATAGTGAGCTTAGAAATAAAAAAGATTTGGATTAAAATTCTGCCTCTTAGTTTTGTAACTATGAACAAGTCACTTTTTCTCTCTAAGTTTTATTTTCCTCATCTGTAAAATGGGGATAGTACAATTTGTAGTGTTTATCTTACAGGGTTATAAGCAAGGGTTGTATCTCAAATGAGATAATGCACGTAAAGCCTTTTGCGAACTTTGAAGCACTATGTAAATGTTAGTTTTATCACTGTTATGAGAGACAGTGTGGGGCAACAGATTGGAAGGCTAGCCTTAGAGTAAGCTTATGTTTAGTCCTACTTTTGACACAGAATAGGGTACAGCTAGATGGCTCAGTAGATAGAGCACTGGACCTGTAGTCAGGAAGACCTGAGTTCAAATCCAGTCTTAGATATTTACTAGCTATGTGACCTTGGGCAAGTCACTTAACCTCTGTTTGCTTTAATCCACTACAGAAGGAAATGACAAACCACTCCAGTATTTTTGCCAAGAAAACTCCATGGAAAGTATGGTTCACAGGGTCACAATGAGTCGGACATGACTAAACAACAATAAGTAGATACAAGGCTAGCCCTAGAGTCAAGCCTATGTTCAAGTCCTACTTGTGGCATAGGATAGGGGCATGACTCTAGAAAAGTCATTCAATCTCTCAGTGCCTCAGGCAACTAAAATTAAAAATTACAGATGAGTCCTTGATCAGCATCAATGAAAGTAATTTCCACATAGGACATTCCTTACACTGGTGAAGTCACAATTCCAGAACCTCCCCCCCAATTACATAAGATTTAATTCATAAACTTGCCAGCATTTTTACATATCACTAACAAAAACAAAATTAATTGATAGGAAGAACACCATTTGATAAGAACAAAATGTATCCAATACTTGGACAATAACCTACCAATGCAAATCTAAGACCAATATGAAGACACTATAAATAAGAATTTTAGCAAAATAAAAGAATGGAATGATGGGAAAGATATTCAACATTCATTATTAAGTCAAGCTAGCAAAGTAAAGGAGACCGTATTGCTCAGATTAATCTGTAGTTTTAATACAATACCAATTAAAGTGGGCTGAAAAATAGACAACAAGCTAAAAATGTATTTGTAATTTGTAAGAACACGAATAGCAAGAGAAATTAAGGGGGGGGGAAGAAAGGAACAGAGACATGCACTATCAGATCTCACATAATCTAAAGCAGTAATTAATCAAAACTTTTTAGTATTAGATTTTTAAAATTTAGGAAAATTAATGAGTTAGAACTAGAATCAAAGGCATTAGAATTAGAACCAAATACAAAGAAGATTATTATTCAATAAATCCAATATTACATAAAAATGACATAGAAGTTCATTATTCCTTAAAAACTCTTGGGGTATTTGGATATAAGAATGGTGAAAAATGGCATTTGAGCCACATTTTGTACCATATACCACAATGATTTCCAAAAAGATCAATGATCTAGATAAAATCAGCTTTGGTTCAGGAAAACTAAGATCTTCCTGACTCCAAGTCCAGGGCTCTATCTACCAAGACACTTACCCACCTCTAATCTGTTAATCTATGTTAACTCATTTGATCCTCACAACAACCCTGGTAGGTGGTATTATCCCTATTTTACAGGTGAGGAAACCAAGTCACAGATAAGTTAAGTGACTTGCACACAGTCACACAGCTAATAAGTGTCTGAGGCAGAGTCTGAACTCAGGTCTTTCTGACCCTAAGTCCTGCAATCTATCTACTGGACCATCTAGCTACCTCAATGCAAAGAAATTTATGAAGAATTTTTTGAAGTGAGGCAGAGTGAAAACAATTTAAAAAAGAAAACCTCACAAAAAATAATTAAAGCAACAATATACACTCTGGCCACAACTAGAATAATCACAGTAACAAAATCAAGGAAAATGTATTAAGAATAAAAAAATTTCACTATGGATAATGTAAACAGATAGGATGATTTTGTTGCTATCTTGTTAAAGAGATACATATTTAGAACTTTTCTTTTATAAAAAAACTAAATAATGTAAAATTTAGTTTTATTATAATTTTAAATTTTATCTATGGATATGATTATATACAATGAAATGCATTTATTCATAGGCAAACATGTGACATGCACTATGCTAAGTGCTAGACACAGAAGAAGACAGCCCCCGCTCTCAAATATCTCACTCTAACTCGAGCAGACAATAATCACAAAAGAATTCACCAGGAGGATAGATGGCAAGGTCAAGAGTCCTGAAAGTACACAAGAACACCCCATGATACTGACTGGAGATCTTTAAGGCACAGAGGCAGAGTGGACGGTAAGGCCTAGAGGAGTTCAGAAAGCAGTAGTAGGGTAGATGGAAAGGCCTGCTAGTCTTCCAGATCTCAAAAAGGGAAATGCTAAGGATAAGTAAAAGGCTTTTGTTTTTTATTATATTCAAAACAAGAACAAGGAAAAAGCAGCTATATGATATTAGAAACACCAGCAAGAAAGTTAAAAAGCTTCATGTAACTCCTTCAGATGCTTTAAGATGGCTATAATTTCCCTCCTAACTCTTCTCTCCCCTATCTCCGGTAAATCCTCCACAATCTCTCACCTATCCTTTCAAATTTATTTCATTAACATTTCCCTTTACTATGTTCCAAACAAATTGGACTACTTGCTACTCTGAGAACTTGACGTTCAAAATCTCCTATAGCAAGTCCTTTTCACAGGCTTTATTTAGCACCATGCTTCAGCTGCCTTCTAACCCTATAAATTCCCACATCCCATGTGGCCTTTACACCCTGGACCATCCATCGACCTCTGTAGCACCCTATTTTTCTGCCAGAACTTTCATTTTGAGGAATGGCCTAGGCCAGCCATCCTTTATTCCTCTCTCAGCTCTACCTCTGGATCTCTGGATTTTGCCACCAAGCCCTCCCTTTAATATGTATGTATTTATTCTCCATTAGGATGTAAGCTCCATGAGGGCAGGAACTGCCTTTCTTTTTGCTTGCATTGGTATTTCCACCACTTGGCCCAGTGCTTAGAGCACAGTAAGGGCTTAATAAATGCTCAGGAACCTCCTTTTACACTAAGCCTTTCCTGATCCTCAAGCTTACAGATGTTGGGGGCATTTTCATTTTTTCGGTCTTTGTATCCCCTGGGCCTAGTACGGTGCTTGAATATAGCAGAGGCTTGATACTTTGGTTGAATTGAACAGAATTTGTCGGATAAATGAAGCTCCACTTTTTTAACTATTTCGGTTTTTTGCCTGATCTGTCTCTTTGTATCAGAAGCATTTTATAGGGACACTCAAGATGGGCAGGGAGGAGGAAAAACCAAACCACCAACCTTCTCACAAACTCCTTTCCTCCAACCCCGCCTGAGACTCATGAGATGAAGGGGGGGTCCACGGTAAGTTGGCCTTCCTTAAAAAGAAAACCAGCCAACTGCCCAGACTGGAAGCCCGGAGAGCCTGAGATGAAGAACCACAGTCAAACAGGCGGCGGCCTTTCAGGCCAAGCTCTTTTGGCACAAAACTGACTGTGCCTCGGTCCCACGGGGATCGCCGCGGGGCAGGGCGGGGAAGAAGGGCGAGAGGCTGCGGGAGGCAGCGGGGCGGGAGAGGGGCACGGAAGCAAGCCAGAGAGGGCACCGGAAGTTATAGGGGAGGTCTTCTCCTCCTCCTGGGGCACTCTGAGTTACTGGGCTGGGGTCCCACCGCGGGACTAGGGGAGATAAAGACTACGATTTCACCGGGGCGTTGGTGCGGGCTGGGTAACCATTTCGCTTCTCGTCTCCCTGGTGACGGACCCGGAAATGACGCACAACCATAGCTTCCGGCCCCGACTCCCGGACGGCCGTTTCAAGGTGGAGGAGCACGTGGGACTTGGGGCTGTAGTGCTGGCAGTCATCAGGTTACCTGGAGCTGCATGCAAGGAGGGGAAAAATCGAGTCTGGAAGCCGCCGCGAGGTGGCACTGTTCTCTTGCTGGCCGTCTCTGTTGGCGACCTTGGGGCAAAGGATCTCAGAAAGAAAAAGAATTTGCATTCAGATCTCCTCTCCTCCTTCCCCAGGTGAAGTGACTTTCCCAAGGTCAGGCTGGTAGTAACTTAGTTAAGAGGTGGAGGCAGGATTTCAACCCAGCTCTCCTGACTCCAAAACAGCACTTTTATGAATCCCTGTTTCTTAAAGGATTGGACAACCTCACCCCAACCTGTATTAATTTTAAATGACTATGTATGGTATATGGAATATGTATGGTATTTAAGTGATTATGTGTAGAAGGAACATGGCAACAATTTAAAAGATTACATATGTGTGTTAATTTTAAATGAATATATATTACATATATATGAAAGATATAGATATATCTTGTTTGCTCTTAACTATAAATGTGTATGTATGTATGTACATACAAGTACACATTATGCCCACATACTCTATATGTACATATAATTTATATTATAGCATGTAGGTACATATATAGTATATGTTTATACTATATGTACATATGTAGCATGTATATATGCACTTGTACATACGTGTACATATACAGTATAGATATACACATAGTGTACAATGCATGTATAGTATATAGTATATATTTATAGCTAGCATATATGTAGCTATGAGCAAACCAAGATATATATGTATAATATATATCTTGCACATATGTAACATGTGTGTATTCATTTAAAACTAACACCCCCCACACAGATATAGGTATATAGTTATCAGCAAACCAAGAGCAGGCTTTCACATTCTTGGAATGGAAGCCCATTCATTCATTGTTCAATAACAGTTAACATTTATGTAGTGCTTTAAGGACTACCAGACTGGTTACAACTATTATTTTATTATCCCTCACAACAACCCTGGGAGTTGGTACTATTATTATAATCCCCAATTTACAGATGAAGGAACTGAGGCAGACAGGTTAAGTGACTTGCCCACTTTCACACAACTAGTAATTTTCTGAGGCAGTATTTGCACTCAAGTCTTCTTGATTCAAGATCTTACTCAATCTACTGGGCCTACAAAGATAGAGAATTATACTACAGAGTCTCAGCCCTAATGAAGACCACTGCCAATATATATTATATCTAGATGTATGTGTCTACACATATAGTATAAGAATATTAATGGTAAATAAGAGATGCAAAACACTATGAGACCAGAGCATGGAAGGATTCTTATAGGAGGAGGCATTTGTGTGGGACTTTAAAAGATAGGAATTCATTGTGGAAAGTAGAGGAGGGAGGACATTCCAGGTGGGAAAGGTAGTAGTGTGACAATTTGTGGAAGCCCCCAGCTGAGAAACAGCCATCATGTTCTAGTAGTTTCTTACTAGTGCTCAGGGATGTAAGAAAATTTGAGTGAAGTCAGTAAGCAGTAATCATTCAATAATTAACTTCCTTTATTAATCTAGCTCTGTAATTATGACATACTGATGTTTAATATGCAATATAGCTGTAACCTTCCTAATTTGAAAAAAAATTGAAACATACTATAAAAGGTGATAAGTATGTAGTTCAGAAAAACAACCTTCTAAATGAAATTTAGTAAAATAAGAAAAGAGAATAAATTTAACCTATGCAAGTTTTAGATCATAGCTATAATCCTATGAATTTTTATAAATTAAGTATATATTTATTGCTTTTTGTTTGGTGTGTTGGACTTTGAATGTTAAATGACATTTCATTAATTTATGCTTATAATGTTCTTCAAAGTTCTTATTTTAGGGATGGGGCTTATATTTGGAGGCCAAGTTAAGTCCTTCAGTTTTCACAGAAAAAGAAACCAGCAATACAGAATTTATTCAGTTATGAATTCTAGGTAGGCCCAGGCTATGACTTAACTTGATAGCATCTGTAAAGGGCTTTAAATTCCTTGGAAGAAAATTATTTTTTAAATATAGCAATTCTTCCAGGGTAACCAATAAGGATTACTAAGACTTGAGACCCTCAGCTGGTATCACTTGGAGGATGTTGTGCCAATGAAGCAAAACTTGCTGGAATTTCTGGGTTGCCTTACTTATGATAATTTTCATCTTATGCACAGACTATCAAATCAGTAGTTTTGTTCTCCATTTAGAGAGCAAAGAATTTATTCCTGTAAATTATGTAAAGGTAAAAGAAAGAGGTAAGATAAAATGAAGAAAAATTTATTTTTTTTCAAGGACAAAATTATTACATAAAGCATAGTGTTTAGTGATGAGCCATTTCCCTGTTTGGGCTCTGATGGTTCAGAGAAAGTGTAAATAGAAATTATTTCTGTTTTGACCAGAAACCCTGAGGGTTTCCCTTACAAGATTTTTTGTTTTTTTGACTAGGTAAAAGAGGCCATTCTTTGCCTCATTTCTTACCTAGCCTTAATCACTGAATGGGCATTGCCTCAGACCAGCTGAGATCTGGGAAAGACCTTAGCTTAAAAAGGCCAAGATCTCCCATTGCATCCAGAGCCATCTCCAATTGTCCTGATCTATATCTTGCTACTGGACCTAGATGGCTCTGGGAGAGAGAGTGAAGCTGGTGACTTTGCACAGTCTTTCCTCACTTAAATCCAATTCACTTGCAAGTCATGAAATCACCTTCCTGATGTCATGGTCCTCTTCAAGAATGAAGGACAAACAACAACAGTACTCAGTTTTTTACTTGCCCTACTCCCTTCTAACAAAGCCCATGTTTTGAGGAATGTATGTCTTATTGATGTAGATCCCTCATCCACCACTAAAGATTGAAACCCATCCCCACCTTCTCATTATGTCAGATTCATATCTGTATCTTTTTGTTAGTTTTTAAAAGTAATTTTTATTTTTTTCTGTACTTGACAAACACCAAATAACATGAGTAATCCATGTGCAAAAAAGAACAGAAAAAGAGTATTGTATAGAAAACCACAAACTTCTGTTATAAGCCGTTCTTTTTTTAAAGCACATAATAAATTCAATATGTTCGTTTTAAAGCTGTCCTGCTTGTTTATATCTCCCTCAGAACCTCCTGTTTTCTTCTATGTGTTTTTAAAAATGTTTCAATGACCCTCTTTCTACTCTTCTTTTTGGGCATCATTACTGATCATTGTTCTTTGACCCACCAATTCTTTAGGATTAAATTATTTAGTCTCTATTAAACTTTGAATACTTTGCTCAAAGGCCTATAATTTTATTGCATTGTCATTATCGAAGGATGTGCTTAATATTTCTGCTTTTCTACATTTGTTTATGAGGTTTTTCTTTCCTACTTCTGTAGCTTATTGATAATTACAGAGCATTTTCTTCACAACACCTCTGAGATAAGTTTTGTATTATCCCTGTTTTACAGATGAGGAAGATGAGTCACAGGATTATGAAGCCACTAGATAACCGAGCCCGCATCAGTGCTCTTTTCAGTATACCATAATGCTTTTCAAAGTTGCCCTGGTTTATCACCAAATCTTAGGAGCATATTAGAGGATGGAACATGCATCCACAAATTGGTAAGGAAGCAAGGTAGGAAAATAGAAGCAGAAATGAGAAAGTGTATTTGAAACTGCTACCACCTAGCCCCCCAAATGCCAAAATCTTCTGAGAGTCTGTTGGACCCCTTATTAGAATAATATGTGTTGGTTATATTCATAATTGAAAGAAATGATACAATTTCAGTTAGAAGTTGGGGAGAAACTTCTGGGTCATGTGAACAGCAGAGTGGAAGACCCCCACAACCTCTCAAACCTCTCCAAAACAGAAATTATGCACCAAAGATAAAGCAATCTCAGCCATATCCATAGTCTAGGACACCCAGAATCTACAAAAAATTTTTAAAAACTCCTAAAACCATGAGCTGCTGTTCAGTGACCCTGATCTCACTCAGCACCCCCCTTCCACCTCCCATGCTACTGACAGAAGATTGCAGTAACAAACCCAAGGATATGACATAGGCTTGCAACAAAACCCACTCATATACCCCAGTGCCTTCTCCCTCTTTCCAGAGCTGTGGAGAACCTGGATCCAGGCTGCAGAAAATTGCCATGACTATAAAGCCAGTCAGCACAACTGCAGCCCTTTAGAAGCAAAGCTTGCCAAGGGCCACAACCAGCATCAGTGTTGAAAAGCACTAAATTGCTAGTGCCAGGCCAAAGAATTAAGGAATAGAGTAGTGAGACAGGACACCTGATTGGGACACCACATGTATGGTGTCTGTGCAGCACTCTGCTAAGCCTGAGGGAAAGAGCACACCATCCAGCTGGGACTAGTTGTAACCATCCCCAAATCAGATGGGGCAGAGACCTAGGCTGGTGAACTGTGAATTGCACAGTGTGGGAGAAGGCTGAGACACTTTGAAATTCTTCCTCAAAGGAAACCACAGTCAGAGGGGAGGGAGTCAGAAAATGAATTATAAAGAAAAAAAAAGAATGAAATTACCAAAGATTTCAGGAAGAAGAAAACTCAAATACATTGGACAAAAATGATAAGTCAATAGGAAAAACAGTAATGACAGAAGGAAATATGGCCTCCAGACCTAGTAAACAACTTGAGGCATCTATGAATAAATACTGCAGAACAAAAGAACATGATCTAATACTTGATAAGACAGAAGACTTTGCAGAGTGGGAGGAGAAATAGAACCAGAACATGGTGTTCCTGAGTGGTTCAAAAAAAGAAATGAGAGCTATAAGACCAGAATTATAGCCTGCACAGTGAAAATAATGAGCAGAACAGAAAAACTGGAATCTGTGGGCAAGTCTCACCATAGAAACAGAAGAGAAAATCATTGACTAAGAAGTGAATACACACAAGTGAAGGACAGTTGGAAGAAGAGAAGCAAAAAAAACCCAATAACATTAAAAGAAAAGATGCTCACCTTGCAAGCAAAACTTACCAATCTTTAAGACAGGATATGTAGGGACAACCTAAGGATTATGGGAAAAACACAGGAGGACAAAAAAACCTTAACACCGTAAGGAAGGAAATAATAGAAGAGAGCTACTCAGAACTTATGAACATAAAAAATTAAATTCCAATGGAAAGAATTCAGATTGCCTGCACACACACAAACCACCTCCACTCCCTAAAGCAAAAACCCCAAGGCTGCAAACTCCAAGACACATAGTGGTTAAATTTAACAATTCAATTCTGAAACAAATTCTTCAAGATATCAGAAGAAAGACGTTAATATACAAAGGAAAGGAAATTAAAATAATCCAAGACTATTCTGTACCTACTAAAAAATGTTGAAGGGGATGGAATAATGCATTCCCAAGAACAATGGAACTCAGCGTGCAGCCCAGGGTGACCTACCCTGTAAATCTGAGCTTAACCATATATGAAAAATGATGGTTGTTCCTTACTAAAGAGTTGTTTGAAACATTTTAGGAAGAAAATCAGAACTGAAGAGATCATTGGTTTTTTGCTTCTTGAATAGCCCAAACAACAGAAATGCAGGAAGAGTGAATAAATGCAGTAGGCAATGATAGCAACAGCAGCAGAGTAATAGCAGAGAGACCAATAGGAGACATTTCTACTTGTGCACGAAGAATCAGTGTGAAGGCAGAAATCTGGTGGAGGTCACATTGAAGAGGCAGACGGGGCATTATGGAAAGACTCTAGTGATACACTGCCTCCAGGTGAATTAATGTGCTTTTGTGAGACTACATTACAACACAGGAGGCTGCATGAAGGGGAGGAGAACAGGGGGATAGAGAGGAGTGTGTGATGTGCTAGGGTCAAATCAAGGGCTAACAATGAGGGGAAGGTGATTACTGTGGTCTCAGAGAGAGCATATAGGGGAATAGGTGAAGATGGGGAAGGATTGAAAAGGGGAGGAAGGAAAGAGGTCTTACTTTGGGGGTGATAGGGGATTTTCTTGATGAATGCTTCTGTGGGTGAAGCAAAATGGTCTGTGAAGGGAGATGGGGACCTTATGCTGGCTATGACCTAGGGGATTTAGTGCTTGAACAGTGTGTTCATCTGAGATCAGGACTTGGGGTAGGGCAGAGGGGTGTTTGGAACTCCTGGGGGAGTGGGAGAATATAGACCAGAGAGGAGATTTTGAGGCAAATGTGGAAAGGAAGGTAACCAGGGGAGGGTATAGATCAGTGATGGGCTGCATAATCAGGGGCATGAGGGAGGGTCCCTTCCATGGGGCAGTGTCATCTCTGACACCTGAAATTACTGGCATTATTCTGGGAGTGAGGCACAGTGGAAAAGGGGAATCCACAGGGCAAGTTCTACAAGTCAGTGGCAGAAACCTCTCACAGGGAGGAGAGCCTAGAATAGATACTTTAGATTAGAAACTTTGATTGCATGAAGAATACAGAGAAAAGAGAGAAACTAGACAATTATAGAGGTCATGAATCAGAGAATGAGGATCTAAAGTAGACAGAAAGAGAGGGTATATAGGGAAATCCTCTTTGGAAAGAGATGCAAAAGAAAAATTTAAAACTAATGAACAGGACTTGTTGAAGGGGATGAAAAGAAGGGAAAATATACTTGACTAACTGAAAGGAAAAAAGAGCAGAAGCATTATATAATGAAATAAAAGTTTGTGAAAACAAAGATGCCATTTTTACCCATTCAACTTCACCGATTCTTTGAAATCACTCCAGATTAAGAATTTTAGCTCTAGGGACAGCTAGGTGGTGCAGTGGATAGAGTACCGGCCCTGGATTCAGGAGGACCTGAGTTCAAATCTGTCCTCAGACACATAACACTAGCTGTGTGACCCCGGGCAAGTCACTTAACAACATTGCCTAACCCCCCCACCAAAAAAAAAAAGAACTTCAGCTCTAGATGTTAGTGTTCTTTACCTACTCAAATTCTCCAAGAACATTTTGTCTAGATCTCCCTTTTCTTCTATCATTCTATTTTGTGTTTGTACTCTCTCTCTATAGTATGTATGGTAGCAGTGTGTCTTTGTGATCTTTTATGAGTAGTTGGGACCATGGACAGAGGTCATCGTCAATCAACTCACACTATTACATAACCCTCTGGTCTATCGTGTCCAGGAATAAGGCGATCATATCATCACCTTGTCAATGCCCTTTTGTTTCCCCAAATTTGCTGTTACCTCAATTAACTCCACTCATGATCATAGTCATGGTTAAACAGCAGCTTAATCAGATAAAAATGTAATAAAATTCAAGCAAAAGGCATATATATGTATGTATTTTATTTATATTATATATATACTTTATATGTATGTGTGTATATAATATATATACATATACACTTTGTGTGTGTGTACAAAATTCCACTCACATCCTTGGTCCTGAAAGGCAGGAAAAATGACATTCAAGTTGGCATTCAGTTCCCTCTGACTGCAGCTTTCCCAGCTGAGGTATGGATCTCAGGAAGATGAAATCAACATCTGATCATCAATGACCAGATGTAAGAGGCATAGGGAGACACTGTCTAAACCCAGAGAAGGTAAAGGGACTTGAAATCCAGAGATTCCCTCTCATTCTTAGAATCTGCCTGCTACCATCTGCCCTGTTAGCAACCAGAAATCTTCCTTTCATTCTCATTGTCATTGGTTCCACTTGCCTCTGTGACTTGAGCAATTATCTGTCCTTCAGTAGAAGGACCTGATGTTTAAAAACCCCATAGACCAGCACAGCATGAAGCCCAGCAATTGGGAAATCAGTATGTTTAATCTCTCTGACATTGATTCCCCTCATCTCCTCATGTTCAAAATACCGTGCCAGTTTTTTCTCATATCACCTGTCTTTTGCCCTTCCCATCAGTACTCCTATAGGGGAGCAACATACTCTTGTTAAGTATTTTATTTATCTCTGTGCCTGTATTCTACCTATTTGACTACAAACTCCTTGAGGGCAGAGACTGAGGTGTTTTTTTTTTTTAACCTTTGTATACTTAGCATCTAGTATATTGCCTTGTACATAATAAGCACTTAATATATTGAATTAAATACATGAATCCCAGTATTTTGTCTTTGTTAGACTATCCAGACATTTTTCAAAGGAATGTGGTATGACAACATCCTCAGAGGTTATTCCTTATACATAACTTTCACTTAATAATCTATTAAGAAAACAGGATCTTAGAATTTATTTAAATTCTTCTTGCTTTTATTAATACTTCATACAGCTCCTTAAGATAATTAAATAAAATTAACAAATATTTATAAATCACCTACTAGCACCATTTTTTTGCCCACTGTTTAAAAAGCATCATATGATAAATGCTTTGATCTAGTATGGTTGGGGACTGGGATGTTCTCATTTATCAGATATTCTTGTTAATGGATTCTTACCATGTGTTGCAGGGCCCATTAAACTGTGCATGCTACATTTCATTTCAACATTTCTGGTTTCCATGACTCTTTCTTATGACATGTATTAGGATATATTTTTCTCTTAGAATTTTGTGACTGCAAATGCCATCTTTCCTCTGGGGAATGTAAGTGAATTGATAGTGCTTGCTAAAGACTACGTATGTGAACACACATTTTATACAAAACTGTATGAATAATTTTGGCTTTTCTTTCCCTTGTTAAGATTGCTGTGTCTTACAGGTTTATTCTGTACCTCCACAGTAGAACCTAAGTTAGCATTCATATGTGGAATATCAAAGGAAAACTTTTTTTTTTTTTTGGGTGAGGCAATCGGGGTTAAGTGACTTGCCCAGGGTCACGCAGCAAGTAAGTGTCAAGTGTCTGAGGCTGGATTTGAACTCCAAAGGAAAACTTTTTAAGCATCTCCCTTAGAGGACTTTGAGCCTTATTTCAAAGAACAAAATTGTCCTACTGATACAGCCTATGCCAGTTAGATGCAGAACTCTTTGAGAAGACTCAGACACACGTTAATTGACTGTTATCCTGTATACCTGTGTAGTTTTAATTGCTTCTTGCTTTCACTCTGAAATAAGTCTAGAGAATCTACCTGTTTTCTCAGATATGACTTTATGGATGTGTTCATGTAGGGCCAGTTGGTCTCATAGCACCTGGGATCATAGAAAAGATCTCCTCGTTAACTAACATGGAATAAATTGAGAAACATTCCAGTCCCATATTCTTATCCTTCTCAACCAATTACTGCGCTCAAAGATTTGAAAGTAAAGAACTAGAATTAGAGGTCTTAGATAAAACTCAACCATTCTCAATTTAGAACCTCTAGAAAGGAGGGACCATTCCTAACATGTCATTGATGGCAAATTTTCAGTACAGAAAGGGAAATATAATGTGCCATCCTTGAGGAAACTGCCACATATCACTCTAATCTGAACACAGATTTGGAGGACCACAGGACCTCCCTTTTGACTCCAATATACTATAACAAATATCCTTTAATAAATCTTATTGGGATACATGTGTCATATGAGTTTTTAAATTTTCCCTTCCCCTGATATGTGTGCTGAATTACTACATAATCACACATTTGGAAAGGCCTTTGCTGACATATGTGGGGATTTAAATGAGTGAGAGAAATTAGTCAAGTCCCCTTGTTTCAAAACTCCTCTAACTCAAAGAGAGCCTGAATTCAAATTGCTGTAGTGATTGGCTTTAATTTACCATATGTCTGTCACATATAATTTGCCAGTTTTCAAAGAGTCAAAGTACAATACATATATTTAACATACAAACTACATAATTATTTAACCTTTTGCTAATAATATGAAAGGTACAGGATTGTTTGGTGATAGTCATATAATTGACATAAGCTATTATTGCTATATTGTGAATCCTCTCCCTTCCACCCACAAAGGCAAGGAATATGACTTTATTATTTTTGTATTTCCTTCATGTATATCACAGCAATTTTTCATACAATAGACTCTTTGCTTAAGGGTTTTGGATAAATGACTGTGTATATGAACGAATGAATGATGTTGATATAGTGGAAATACCAATTAATTGAGAATCCCAAATGGTAGAATATGGTATAAACATTTTAAATGTATTTATTTTAATTTGTCCTAAAGCCACCTCTTTCATGAGATGAGAGATGCTTCCACCACTACTTCAGTTATTCTGAGATTTGATAAAAAATCCCATGTTCATCTTGTTCAAAGTAAAATATTGTCTTCTTTATGCATGTCACAGCAAAATTCCCCAGCTCTCCTTGCTGGAAGCATGATTGTCAGTCATTTTTAATTCTTATTAGTAACTCTTGGTCTATACATTTTAGGTTTTTATAAACTTCAGTAATGCTGCTTACTAGCATTATGACCTTGGACAAATCACTTTTATTTTAGCTTAATTACATTATTTGTAAAAGAAGTAGTTGAATTAAATAGCTAAGGCTATTTCCAGCTCTAAATTCTGTAATATCCTCTGGTAAATCTTAATGTTTCTAAGGTATAGAAACCTAATCTTTTTAGTTTATTTGATGCTCCACACCCTCTTAATAATTTATTTGTATCTCTCTGGACCTTTTCCATTCCCACCATATTTTTTTAAAGTGCAATGACACAGTGGCCTGTAGTATTTTGTGTGTGGAACCATCAACGTTTTATAAATGGAAGATCCTTCCTGATGATGCCCAGCATTATAAGTTGTGCCATCTTTGGACACTTAGCAAACCCTAAGCTAAAGACTTTGAAAAAAATTTTAGTGTGGTACAGCAACTTGAATTTTTTTCCTAGACTCAACATGTTTATATGTATGTACACATACATATACACACATATATTTCACACATATGTATTATATATAGTATACAGTATGTGTTTGTTTGTTTAGATGTAAATATTTACTAGGCACATAGGTGGTTCAGTGAATAGAGTGCTGGATGAGGAGGCTGAGACTCAGAGAAGTCAAGTGACTTTCCCAAGTTCTTAAGGGGGCAGAGCTAGGGTTTGAATGTAAATCGTCTGACTCCAAATCCAGCATCCTTTCCTATAAACTATAAGGAAACTGCCTGATTGCCCTGCCAGGTAATCCAAAACAGATCATGGAGTTCTTCGAAACAGGCTACAACACACAGCCTCCTTTGGCATCTGTGTGTCTTAGGCAAAGTTTAAAAATTCCTGCTTCCCTGTTCCTGCCCCTGTCCCCCTCTCTTGGAAAAAAACTCCTCTTTTATTGTTCACTGGAATCCAACACATGGACCTTGACTTGCTCACCAAACAAATATTATGCCATGGAGAGCAACATTTCCTGGCATTAGAAAAAGGTACTTTTTTTTTTAAAGGGTTACTGTGTATTGTGATATAGGAGGCTGTTTATCTTATCTACCCCTAGTCTTTGCTCTGCATGGCCCTATTAAGAAGAAAGGGTCATCACATGTACAAAAATATTTGTAGCAACTCTTTCTGTGGTGGCAAAGAACTGGAAATTGAGGGGATGCCCATCAATTGGGGAATGGCTGGACAAGTTGTGGTATATGAATGTAATGGAATACTATTGGGCTATAAGAAATGATGAGCAGGCAGACCTCAGAAAAACCTGGAAAGACTTGTATGGACTGATGCTGAATGAAGTGAGCAGAACCAGGAGAACGTTGTACACAATAATAGAACATTGTGTGATAACTAACCTTGATAGACTTTTAGCTCTTTTCAGCAATGCAGGGATCTAAGACAACTCCAAAAGAGTCATGATGGGAAATGCTATCCACATCCATATGGAGTCTGAATGCAGATCGAAGCATGCTATTTCCTGTTTTTTTCTCTTGTTTTTCTTTCTCATGGTTCTTCCTGTTGGTTCTAATTCTTCTTTACAACATGATTAATGTGAAAATATGTTTAATAGGAATGTATATGTAGAGCCTATATCAGATTGCATGCCGTCTTGGGGAGGGAGGAAGGGAAGAAAATTTAAAACTCAAAAGCTTATGGAAGTGATGTTGAAAACTAAAAATAAATGAATTAATTTAAAAAAAAAGAAGAAAGGATCATCATCTTGTGACATCCTTTTCTCTGACAACTGTACAAAATTGTGAAATGTCATTCTATTCCTTGTTATTTCAGTTAAGGGTTTAATAATCTTTGGCATTAGGCCAAATATTAATGAATTCAAATAGAAAAAAATAATGAATTCTTACCATGAGAGTAAAGATTGTTTCATTCTTTGTATTTCTATCTTTATTGCCCAGCACAGTAACTGGCACATATTAAGGGTTTTGCTTATTGACTGATTGATTATTAAAGCAGTACATCGCAATACATTTTACTGGGGTTTTCAAAGGTGTGTTATAGGTTAGTTGTGGCTCACCTTGCAATAGGAAAACCACAATCCTAGGTATATAGAGGTGGAAGAAATCATCTTGTCCAGTAGTTTTTTATAGAAGAGGAAATCAAAGCCTAACGGCCAAAGTCTAAACTGGGATGCCAAAAATTATTTTGTTAAAGTTGACAGTCAAGAAAGAGCTATTTTTCATTTTGATTCATGAAGACACAAAACACTATCGTCACAACACTGAACAGAGATGACGAAGGGTACATATCAGTTGCCAATGGCTTGCCTTTCTACACTGGGCTGACACTATCATGGCTGACACTGTAGTCCATCAAGGAAAGCAGTGATCACCCAAATATGTGATCTGACAAAGTGGAATTTAAATTTAAATTATTTTAATAAAGTTTAGAGCTAGAGGGAACCTTAGATATCATCTCAGAGATTCTTAACCTGGGACCTGTGAACTTAAGATTTTTTTATAATTATTTCAACATAATTAGTTTCTTTTGTAATCCCATGTATTTTATGCATTTAAAAACATTCAATCCATCAGACTGCCAAAGGGGTCTGTGACACACACACACACACACACACACACACACACACACACACACACACAAAGGTTAAGAATCTCTGATCTAGTACAGTCCCTTCATTTTGCAGATGAGAAAAATGAACCCTGGCAAATTCAAGTGATTTGTCCAGGGTCACAAAGGTAATATGGCTGAGTCTGTATTTGGACCTAGGCCCTGGGCTGCCAAATATCAGTGCTCTTTCCATTACCAACGGCTGCCTCACCAAATGTCCATTCTGTGTTTACCTGAAGTACTCAGTATTAGTAGTGGGAGATTCTGTGGGGCTGGAGCAACTCTCTAGCAACTAATTGACCTTCTTTTGCAATCTTCTTAGTTTCTTCATTGTTTTCCTGGGAAATTTAGGAGAGAATAAATAATAAGAATAAATAATTCATAAATCTCAGCTTTCTCCACTCACACTTTTATGAACCAGAGAGAGACTAGGAGAAGGGGTGTGTGTGTGTATGTGTGTGTGTTTATGTATGTATACTTATGTAGATGTAACTGTTTAATGCAACCTCCTTGAAGGCAAGGGCTACTTTTTATTTTGTCTTTATACCTGCAAGTGCTAGCACAGCACCTTGTACATAGTAGACTCTTAATAAATGCTTGTTAAACTGGATTAAAAGGGAATGGGAGAGAGGAATTCCTGGGCCAGAAAGGAGGTAAAACTGAACAGTGAGCCTGGGGAGAAGGAAAATGAAATTATTCCAACAGTCACAGCAATTTGACTATTCAGAAGCTACTCTGTTGGCCAGCTTTGCTGAAGGGTAAAGATGAGTTTGGGATTCTCATGGATAGACCTTTGTCTGTTTGAAAAGGGCGTTGACCAATTGGAATGTGCTCCACAGAAGAGCCAATAGAATGATAAGGGGCCTGGACACTATGTCATATAAGGACCAATTGAAGGGACTGGGGATGTTTAACCTAGAAAAGATTTATAAGGGAACATGATTGTTGTCTACAAATATTTGAAGGGCTATCAGATGGAAATAGAATTTGACTGGGTTTGCTTAGCCCAAGAGGGAAGAATGAGGATCAAGGGATAGAAGTTCCAGAGAACCATATTTGGGTTTAACGTAAGGGAGAACTTCTGAATAGTTTTTAGATCCATTAGATTGTAAGCTTCTTGAGGGCAAGGACCGTCTCTTGCCTCTCTTTGTATCATAGCACTTAGCACAGCACAGTACCTGGCACATAGTAGGTGCTTAATAAGTGCTTATTGATTGATATAAGAATGGAATGAACTGCTTCAGGAAGGGATGAGTTCCCTGTTACTGCAGTTCTTCAACTGGAGGCTACAGTACTGTTTGTGGCCATGTTAGAGGGCATTTCTGCTTAAACATGGATTGGATTAGATGACCTTTGAAATATAGTCCAACACAGATGTTCTGGGATTCCATTATTGTGTACCTTGGGATAAGGATTTTATATAAAATTGGACAAGACTGTGATCATGTCCATTGATACACAGAACAGCCCTAGTTATTATTCTTTGGTTATTTCTATGGGGACATTATTCAGAAAATAACTTCTCTTGTTTTTATTCTATCGATTTTGTAATTTGATGGCTTATGTGTGATAGAAACTATTACATAGCTTAATCAAACAATAACATAGATTAATTTTTCATTGCTTAGAGAAATTCAGGTTTTGCTTGACCTACCTTAGCCCATTGATTCTCTAATAAATCACTAAGATTTCTGTGAACTGGAACGTAATGTTTTCATGGTTTTAGCTTTGTGTAGAAGTGCTCATAGTATGGAGAGTCCTGCTTTAGAACCAGACTCGTACACCATTAGATATGGGTATCTATAAGCAGCTACCATATCATCCACATTCGCTTGATATTTGTACTAGAAATATTAAAAAAAACCCAGAGTTTTAATTGTCATTCCCTTTATATTCCACCTTTTTGCTACTGCTTTCATATTGAAAGTAAAACCAAAACCAAAACCTTACAAATCATCTTAACTTCGTTTTTCTTTCATAAGGTCATAGCTCAAAGCAAGAGGTGGTCATCTAGTCCAAAACACTGGTTTTCCAGATAAAAAAAGTAAAGCCTAGAGAGATGAAATGACCAGGCCAAGGTCACAAGGAAAAGGTGGTATGTAAAACCAGGTAGGTCCCTTAACTTCAAAGTCCATCATTCTTTCCACGGCACCAGGCTGATTCTCTTTTGTTCTCTTTGTATCAGATATTGTGAGGTATCCTTTAAATGGAGGGGGGGTAGGTTGAGGAGAGGTCTGCAAAATTGGATAGGGAAAAAAAATTTTCTTTATTTTCATTAGTCTCTAACTGAAATTTAGCATTTCCTTCCATTTTAATTGTTTCTTTTTAAAACCACATTATTCTCAGAAGGGGTCCATAGGCTTCATCAGACTGCCAAATAGTTCCATGACAATTGGATCCGATTCAATCCAGTAAACATTTATTAAACTCTTTCTATGTCCCAGATAAGGAGGCAACTAGGTGGCTCAGTGGATAGAGTGCTGGGCCTGAGTTCAAATCCTACCGCAGACACTGGCTGCGTGACCCTGGACAAGTCATTTAATCTCTCTTTGCCTTAATCCACTGAAGAAGGTAATGGCAAACCACTCCAGTATCTTTGCCAAGAAAACCTCACGGACAGCATTGGCGTCCTTGTCCACAGGATCATGAAGAGCCTGACAGGACTGAACAACAACAACAGGTACCAGGCACTGTGCTAAGCCCCACGGAGACAGTTAATAACAAGAAAGTCCTTGCCCTCAGGAGCTTATTGTCTAATTGGAGAAGACAACACACAAAAAGAGGCAGAAAAGCTGGGGTGGAGGAGGGAGGGAAGGAGAGGGGGTACTCAGGATGTGGGCATCTTGTTCTTGTAGTTGAAACCAGGCAGCACAGATGCAAAGTGGAGTGAGCTTAGAGTCCAGTTTCTGCCCTCTCTAAACAGGGGATTGGAAGGAATTTGGTACTCAGCCCTCCAAACAGAGGGGAGAGGAAGTTGTCAAAAAGAGAAATGACCCAAAAAAGCTTTTACAAAGTGCTGCTTTAAGTGGTCGTTTTTCAGAAATTATGAACTGACTGAACAGCATAGTATAGTGAAAAAAGTCTTAGACTTAGTGTCAGGAGACCTGGATTTGATACCTGTCTCTCTGCAATTTACTAGCTATGATAACAGGGGCAAATCACTTAATTTCTCTTCTATCTCTTCATATATAAAATGGGAATATAATATTAATATGACACTACCTCATGAGGCTGTTGTGAAGAAAGAACTTTACAAATCTCATATGTGTGTGTGTTTTTGTTTTTTTGTTTTTGCTGGGCAATGGGGTTAAGTGACTTGCCCATGGTCACACAGCTAGTAAGTGTTATGTGTCTGAGGTCAGATTTGAACTCAGGTCCTCCTGATTTCAGGGCTGGTGCTCTATCCAGTTTGCAACCTAGTTGCCCCTTAAATCTCATGTGAATGTATTATCATTGTTATTTGTATTATTTCATAGGAAGTATTATAAGTATTAGGTAAAAAGTTTTTCTAAAAAGCTTCTATTTCAGGCTATTTCCCATGGCAGTTCTTTTCATCGAGAAAAGTGAAGTCTCCATGGCAGTTGGGATATTTTACTGTGGAAGGCCTCACTTCCCTTAGGTGTAAAATAAGATTTTGATTCTTGGATCTGTTTTAGCTCTAAATCTTATAAGTCTAGATAAATATGTCAGCATCATAGGCAAATCATAGGAAATTATTATAGAATCCTAGAACTAGAAAGGAAACTCAGAGAGCATCTTTTCCAATACTTTTTCTTGTGGATGAATCCCCCGAACAATGTAATAGCTAGAATTTATGTAGCATTTTAAAGTTTGCAAAGCACTTGACATGTGTGATGTCATTTGATTCCCACAGTAATCCTGTGAGGGTTTTGTTTTGTGGTTTTGACATTTTACAATGAGGAAATTGAAGTCAAAAAAGGTTAAGTGACTCACCCAAAGTCTCTCAGCTAGTGTCTGGGGGCAGTAACGGAAGAGCTCTGGTCTTCAGAACTCCAGGCCCAGCACTCTATCCACTGGACATCTAACTGCCAACAAGTGATCTGTAGCCTGTCAAAAAATCTCTAGTGATGGAGAACTCGTTGCCTCATAAGACAATCCATTTCATTTTGAGATAGCTATAATTATTAGAAAGTAAATAGAAATCTGCCTCCCCCCTGCCCTTCGCAACCTTCACTTATCAATCTCAGTTCTCTCCTTTGGTACCCATAAGAGTAAGTCCAATCCTTCTTTTACCTATTTCCTCACCTCCCCACCTTGATTTTATTGCTGCTTCAAAATCTGAGGACTACAACTCTAGAAATGTACTGTCATTTCTCCATACTTCAATACTCATAGTCAAGACTTCAAGACTAGTTCTTCACCTACTAGTGACAAATAGTTTTCTAACAAGCCAAGTTCTTTGCCTGTTTATTTTCTAAGCAAATAATATATGTCAGAACTAGGCTCAAATATAAGGACAGGGATTCTTTATGTTAGAAAGATTTGGGCTCAGATACTTACTAGCTGTGTGACCCTGGGCAGGTCACTTAACCCTGGTTGCCTTCAAAAAAAGAAAGAAAGATTTGGTAGCCTACTTTTTTTTATAATAATAATACTTTACATTTTTATGTGTTTTTACTTTGGCAATGCATTTTCTCATTTGTCACTTCAGTTGATCTTGACAAGTCTATAAAGTAAGTAGGGCAGGTGTTATTGGGCTTATATTTATAGATAAGGAAACCAAGGCACAAGGAAGTTAGGTGATTTGCCTAAAGTCACATAACTAGTGGTCCTGAGCATAGTTACTTGGTTGTCTTTCTAAAGAAAATCAGATCCATGAGGATGGCATCAATCATACCTTAAAAAGTCAAAGAAATCCACCAGCTGAACTTTTCCCAGCTCTTTTTCCTTTTCTTGGAAAAAGAAATATTCAGTATTTCTTGCATTGAGTAGTTCTGGATTTTCCCTGGACAACTGCACTAATTGAAAACATCCATCTCTGCTGTCTCTGCCTGTGAAAAAAGCCTTTTCTATTTTATTGTTCCAGACAGGACCTGGATGGTTTGGAAGGTGAAGAAAGGAGAATAGAATAGTCAAAAATATTCAGTGAAATGGCTCTTATTTCTTCATAAGTGATACAGTCTTAAATTTTTTCACTGTCATCTAAAGGATGAAATATTTTTCTTATCAGCTCATCTCCTAAAGTTGACAGTACCTCAAGAATATTAGATCCAGTCTATTTGCCATTGATACTTTCAAAGTAAAAAATCACAGTTAAAAAAATAAGTAATCTCTTTATTCATACTTAAAGGACTAATGATCCAGAAAAACATTTAAAAAAATTTTTTTAAATGTTTAATTTCACATTTTTTTGTAGTAGTGAACACTTTGGAAACCAAGTATTTTGCAAACTCTTTGCTGAATGGCAATCTATAGCAATTAAGCTGATAGCCTAGGCCCCAGATTACAGGCAGGAGGTGATTAAGTCAATGAATCTACACAATAATAATAGTAACAATAATAACAATAATATCTGACATTTATAGTGCATTTTGAGGTTTGCAAAGCTTTTTATATAAATTCGATAATTTGAACCCCATCACAACTCTATGAAGTAGATGCCATTTGCATGATCATCTCCATTTGACAGGTGAAGAAGCAGGTTCAGAGAGGTTAATTGACTTGTCTATGGTGACACAGTACTTAAGTGTCAGAGATGGGATTTGAAGCCAGGTCCTTCTGTCTCCAAATCCAGCACTCTGTCCACTAGACCATGGTAAATCTCTTCTTTAGGATATTCCCTCTTCCGTTCCTCAAAATTAAACATGTCTTACATTCTCAGGTGATTCTGAATTAATCAGAGAGGATAAGATGACACAAAGATCATGAATCTTTAATTTTTTGATTACCAGAATCTTGAGCAAACCACTTTTGAATTTAGAAGTCATTTTTCTAACCTTTGGTTTAACTGAAAATGTTTGTACGTCAGAGATTTATCAACAAGTTTCCCTCCACTTCCCCCATGCAACTATAAATATTTTAGCCACAGCAACTCTCAAAAACCCTTTAAGTTATAGAGGAGTTGAAATCTGTAGCAGTGGAAGGTATTGCAAATAGAATGAACTACAAGCCATTGAAATATTGGTGGCTTAAGTTTGTGTACTCACACAGAATATGTTCTCCCCACTTCCCTTTTCCTGAAGAATAAATTCTAATTTACCTATATTTCCTTAAATAGAGAGATCATCATTAGGAACCCCTTTCAGTATATCAAATATTGAAATACAAAATGTAGGAACAACAAAAAAAATGTCATTGCTTTTATTGCAGATTTGCTATATCTCTTTCTATTCCCTGCTACTGCTACCAAATGAGAAGCAGGCAGGTTTATCTCTCTCTCTCTTTCTCTCTCTCTCTCTCTCTCTCTCTCTCTCTGTTTGTCTCTCTCTCTCTTTCTCAGACTGATTTGAAAAAAGCCTCTGGATTCACATACTAAAGATTACAAACAAAAACAAACAAAAGGAGACTTGTAGTTATTACAAGATAGCATCTTCCTTCTCATGGAACTAGACCAAATCAAAGGATTTACTTTTCTCACTCTGAATAAATAAAGTAAAAGAAAGGATGGATTCCAAAAGAATAAATAAAACTAGACTCATTAAAGGGAAAAGTTTTTTAGAAAGCATCAAAGTTATATGCTCTATTTGTATCACACACTTTATGCTTTACAAAACATGTGATTCAAGTCACACAAAACTTACTTAAAATGTAAGCTCCTTGAGAGTAGAGATTGTATATTTTTTCATTCTTATATTCCAAGCACCAACCACAATGCCTAGCAAATATTAGACACTTAATAAATATTTGTTGTTTGACTGATTGGTGAAACTATTTGTATCTCTTAGAGATAGAACTCAAAGTTAATTCTTTGCCCAGTTTGCATTTTTATTCAGAATATTTACAGATTGATTGAGTCAAAGACAACTTTAGGTGTTTCTGGGAGCCAGATATTAACATTAAAATCCACACATCTTTAATTCTAGGACTAACATTTATTTTTTTTTAAACACTCTGGTAATTACACTCACTAGCTGTGTGACCTTGGGCAAGTCACTTAACCCCAACTGCCTCACCAAAAAGTGAAAAAAAAAATACTCTGGTGCTTAAGAGAGATAATTCTTCTAATCTTTTGTTAAAATATAGATACATTTTTTTTTGCCTCACATATATGTATAAATTCCCTCTAAAAATGTCCACCTCAACTTCTACGTACAAGCCTTTGCCAGTAGAATGAATTCAAATTTACTTGTATTTCCCTGGATAGAGAGGGTCTCAGAAGAGAGTAAGTGAAATGCTGAGGCACAGCCTGTAAAGGAATTGGGGCAGGGTCAAACCTGGCATAGTGTAACACATGTTTTCTTCTCAGGAAGAAAGTTTGGTGGCCAGTGTTAGTTAGGAATGCAAGTCCTTTTAGAGCAAAGATTGTTTTTCACTTTTATCTTTTTATCCCTAACTCCTGGCACAATGATATGCACATAAATGCTTAAAAGTGCTTGTTGAATTGAATTGACTGGGAATAAGGAGATAATTGGGTTCATATCTTATCCACGACATTGACTAGCTCTGTGATACTAAAAAGGTCACTTTTCTCTTCTAAGCTTCAGTTTCCTCGTCTGTAAAATTAGAGATGATGATAGCTGCTCTTCCTAACACTATTATTATGAGGAAAGTACTCTGTGAAGCTTAATGCGCTTATGTGTTGTGTTGTATGTCCATTTAAAAATAAAACGAACCATAATTGTTCTTAGAAATAATTGATACCTTTCTTGCTAGTGACAGCAACATTTCATCTGACAACATTTTGAACTCGGTGTCCTTCACTGTAGACTGTTGGTACTCATGCTTATTGAAAACAGTGTAGTGAACAATCTCGTCACCAAACCTTGCCGGGACTTCATTTAGTATCTACTGAAGATCAATGCTAGGAAAGGAAGCAAAGTCCTTTGCACTTCGAGTCTCCTTGATTGGACATGAAAAAGTTTTCTGCCAGGTCTGAGGATTCTCTTCCCGGCATTCACAGTACTTAACGATAACACCGGTTCTAAGGGAGACAAGGCTCTTTCTTGTACACAAAATATTATAACCTTTCTTTTGTTCTCACTTGTATTTAAGATAATTTCTTGCAGAACATTAGGAATCTCTAGGCAATGCCAATCTTTAGGTAAATTGTTAAGCAGCAGAACCCCCTAGAGCCCTCAGCTTCCCTGCCCCCTTTTTTTATCTGCTCCAATCCCTCACTGCTACCCCTCAGGAAGCAGCATAGCTCATAGTCTCTCAGGACCACCAACCCTCTCAAAACCTAATCTTAGGTACAGCTCTCATAAACAGCTCTCATATTCCTTAGTATTCACACTAAGGAATAAGTGCTCAAAGGGTTACCTTTTCAAGAGTTTATTTGCATTTTAAGAGGTAAGAAAGGAATGAATCTCTAATATTGTGAGTATCAAATGGAGGTAGAGAAAGAATTTGGCAGGTGCATATGAAAGGAGGAAGCCTCCTCAGATCATACCAGTGTGTAAAATGGTCATCTATTTTTAAAGGATTCCCGATTTTCAGGCACTCTGAGGCATTCTAGATAGTTATGAAGTCTATGATCATGAATACACAATTAACCTTTACCAACTCAGTAGCTGGTATGCACTGGCCCACCAGGAAAGTTCATATACTCTTTGTCTCTCTCTCCCCAGGCTCATATTCCAACTGATTACCACTTGTCTATTCCAAAATTCAATACTGACAGTTTTCTCCCTGTGAAGAAACTCAAGGACTACCACAGAACAAACTCTATCTGGGCGAGTTGTCCAGAATGACCTTGCCTATTGACCCTTAGGTTTGATGTCTCCTATGCAGCTTTAACTATAAGTTCTCTTTAGAGCTTTCCTGAGCTGAGCTTTGTTCCTTCTTTTTTGTCTTATCACAGATGGATGAGGCGCCAATTCAAAATTTCTGCCTCTTAGTTTCCCTGACTTCCTTTAAGATCTCCTACTCCAGGAAGGCTTTCCCCAGCTGCTAATGCCCTCTCTTCTCAGACTTTTTCATCTACTCTGCATCATATCTTATTTATACATAGTTGTTCACAAGTTGTCCCTAAGTTAGAATGTGAGCTCCTGGAGGACAAAAACCATGTTTTTGCCTTTTTCTGTATCTCCAGGGCTTTTCATAGTGCCTGGCCTATATTAGATGTTTCTTAAATGCTTGTTGACTCGACTTCCCCAATCCCTGACATGTCTAGGAAAGGTAATAGTCTGACTTAAATTTCAGGTGCTCTAGGTCATAAGTTCCTTTAATGCAGTGGCTATACCTACCCAAAGTATATAATCACACCTTATACTACATTATTGAGCTAACACAGTATATATTCTGAGAGGCACCATGTTGAAGTGATTTTTAGATTTGATATCTGGAATTCCTTGGTTCAAATCTTGGCTCTGATACTTTTTTTTTTTAGGCAATTGGGGTTAAGTGACTTGCTCAGGGTCACACAGCTAGTAAGTGTCAAGTGTTTGGTCTGAGGCCGGATTTGAACTCAGGTCCTCCTGACTTCAGGGCTGGTGTTCTATCCACTGCGCCACCTAGCTGCCCCTCTCTGATATTTTCTATTGATGTGATATTAAGGAAGTCATTCTTCTTCTCTGGACCTCAGTTTCTTCGTCTTGAAAAGGGGATGGTAATACTTATACTACCTACCTCACAAAGTTTTATGTAGAAGGCAGATTATGCCTTTTGAAGGCCTATGTAAATATGAATTATTAGCCAGGTATGATGATGATGACCTCTCTTGCTCTGGTTTTGCTATGTAATCCTAGGCCCACACTTTAAAAGTCTCACATATTAATAGTAACATTTTATAACACTTTAATATTTGTAAATGACTTTACATATATTCCAATTTGATGATCACAACAACCCCAGTGAAGTTAGTGCTATTATTATCTTCATTTTACAGATAAAGAAACAAATGCTGAAAGAGATCAAGGGACTTGCCTAAGGTAGGTTTCAGACTCAGGTCCTCCTGATTTGAAGTCCAGCACTCCATCCACATACCACCTTGCTGTTCCATGTGATTAAGTCATATTCAAAGGTACCTGTGAAGGCACACATTGAAGGTATTACTGCCACATCGGTTGACCACATGGGAGAGGGTGTAACATGGCACATGGCAAAACTCAGGTCATAAAAATGACTTGCTTTTATTTCAGAACACTTTATTGTTTCAGAACACTTTGTATACATGATCACATTAGACCTTCCCAACAGCCTTGTGAAAAAGGTAGGACAGATGTTAGAAACCAAGGTTTAGAGGGGTTTAAGTGATTTGCCCAGCCATTACATAGGTGATATATGTCAGAGACAGGACTTGAACCCAGGTCTTCCTGACTTCAAGTACCTTACACTATCTACTACAGGAACTAATGAGTATCAAAGGCAAAAACTCCTTCCGACTTAAAATCCAGTATTTCTTTCATAGGTTTATAATAGCAGGCTGTGTAGTTCTAGATTGACAGTGTCCCTACTAACTTCTGGAATTGACTTTACACTGGAGTATTGATATACAATATTTCTAAAAAGAGTCTACATTTTCTTAGACCCTCCCACCATCAGTTTTAGGCCCCTTCTGCTGACTGAGTCCCATTCTCTACACCCCTGTTCCTAAGTGGCCTATGGGCCTAGCTCCTCGGCTAGTGTCCATAGGTACTAGTGAGCATTCATCTTTTCTAACCCAGAGCTAGGCCCATCATGCTGGCCATCTTCATGCTTCTGTGCTTCTTGTTCCAACCTCTATCTGGAGTTCTAGCTCCAACCTAGGGACCCTGGGCTTCTGATTGGTGGATAATTGCTTTCTCTAGCTCCAACCACACTACTCAGCCAGCCATCTCCATGCCATGTCATTGCATCCATACTGTTTCCCCTACCCCCTTTCCAGTTATATCTCTGAGAACAGTAATCACATCAATGCAACCATTACTTGAAAGGATGTCAGTAAGTCAGTTAATTGACAAACACTTATTAAGTGCTTACTATACACCAAGCAAGGAAAAAAAGTTCTTGCTCTCAAGGAGCATACATTCTAATGGGAAGATAAACATGAACATAACTAGGTACATACAAGATATAAAGAGTGTAGATCAGAGGTGATCTTGGAAGGGAAGGTCCTAGCATGTGGAGGGACAGGGAAAAGCCTCCTACAAAAGGAGAGATTTGAGCTGAATCTTGAAGGAAGCTAGGGAAACTAAGAAGGGGAGGTGAGAAAGGAGAGAATATACCAGGAATGAGGGACAGCCAGTTGCCCTATGATTCCAATCACCATCTCAGTGATTTCCCTGAACAGAATTCCTTTCAGGTTACTTCCCCCCACATATATATTGTTTTCCCCTTTCAGAATGTCTTGCTTGTTTGTATTTGTATCTCTAACACTTAGCAAACAGTATTTGACAGATAGGTATTTGAGGCAGCTAGGTGGCTCAGTGGATAGAATGCTGGTCTAGGAGTCAGGAAGATCTGAGTTCAAATGTGACCTCAGATACTTACTAGCTATGTCACCTTGGGCAAGTCACTTGACCTCTGTTTACCTTGATCCCCTGGAGAAGGGAAATGGCAAACCCCTCCAGTATCTTTACCAAGAAAAATCTTACGAACAGTATGTTCCATGGGGTCATGAAGAATGAGACACGACTGAATCAACTGAACAACAATAAAAATTGACATAGGAGGCACTTAACAAATGACTTTTCCTTCATTCGTTCATATTTGAGTTTCTGCTTTTACCATACAGGATTCTAGATCACCAAAGTCTCTTACGTTTCAAAATGTGTAGAGAGTGAGCCACATGCTCTTCACCATAAAACACATTTATCTTTAGCCTGTCTTTGACACTCTCATACATCTGGTGCCTTATCAGGAATGAGCTCTCCTTTCTGTCCAAAGAGTTAGGGATATGAATGTGGAATAACTCTTGGAGTAAAAGTGGTCTGATTCCAACCTTGAATGGTAATTGTTCTGGAAGAAGAAAATGCAAAAAACTGTCCTGACTGGGTAGGTATATATTATGGTCACATGGTTAATTTAATTACACTCCTACTAGACACAGGTGGAACTAACAGGTACCTTTCTTTTTTTCTGGAGCATCCGAGACCAGTCACAAAAAAGAAGAAAGGAAGAAATTGCCGTGTGAATTGCATAGAGCCGAAGTTTTAGAAATAGGAGTGAGAGGGACAATGTGGTGAAATTGAAAGCATGCTGGACCTGGAGTCAGGAAGAGTTTGAATACTGCCTTAGAAGCTGACTAGCTGTATATCCCTGGGCAAATCATTTCACTTATATGAATCTCAGTTTCCTCATTTGTATAATGAGGATAATAATACCCATATCACCAACTTCACAGGGCTTGTGTGAAGGTCAAGTGAGATAATGAAAGTAAAACTGTTTACAAACTTTAAAGAGATATATGAATGTTGTTTTTATTCATTTATTTCAGTTGTGTCTGACTCTACATGACCCCATGGACCATACTGTTCATCGGCTTTTCTTGGCAAAGATACTGGAATAGTTTGCCATTTCCTTCTCCAGTTCATTTTACAGATGAGGAAACTGAGGCAAGCAGGGTTAAGTGACTTGCCCAGAGTCACACAGCTAGTAATTATCTGAGGCTGGATTCAAACTCAGGTCTTCCTGACTCCAGGTGTGGTGCTTTATCTAGTGTGGCTTTATCTAGTGTGCTACCTAACTGCCCATATATGAATGTTAGCTATAATTATTATTATTATTAGGACCCTAGAAAGAGGTCTATCTAGTTTCTCCTCCTTATCCCTTAGAAAAGATGAAAATAAAGCCATCTACTTATAAAAACAGTAAGATTTCATAGACTTCCTCCATAACATATTCTAACATTAAACCACTGTCAGTCATTTTTCTCTGATTAGCCCAAGTAAAAAGGAATAGTTTATTTCTACCAGCACAGAACCTAAGCAGCTTTTCTTCTCTTATCCTCTCTTCATTTGATATCTTCTGCTTGTCTTTCTCCCACATTCTGTCTGTTTACTTTTTTCTACCCACTCTTCTCTTTCCTCAACCCCTCCTTCCTTGTCTCCCCTCCATCCCTTAAATAGTTATGATATGGAATTGAAGCATGTTTTAAAATATGTATTGTATTTATTGAATCTTCTGCCAAAGTCATTCTTGGATGGCCCTAGATTGTGACAGCTGAATATTAACTCTGGTAGGCCCTACTAATATGGAAGGTGGCTAAGTTCTGGTTGACAATTCAGTTCATCATTGTGATAGGTATTGGTCTGAGCATCACCAGGTGATGAAATTTCTGGCCACAGCAACTCATAAAACTAGATGGAATGACTATGATATGTATATGTCAAAAATTATTTGAACAAGTTGCAGATGACTATTCAATAAAGCTTTATATTCCCCATTCTTAATTTTAAAAAATCAAGTGAGTTTAACCTTTCATAGGATTTAGAGCCTCAGAAATAATCTCCAATCTCCTCATTTTAGAGATGAGGAAACTGAGGCCAAGAGAGGTTAAGTGATTTGCTCAAAGTTATACAGGAAGTAGTGTCAGAGTTGGGATCCAAACCCATGTCCTGGGACTCCAAATTCAGTATCCTTTCCACTGCACCATACTACCTTGCTTTTATGTTTCTCCCAACTAGATAATATTTGTAATATGCTTAGCACAGTGCTTGATATATAGTTGGTGATTAATAAGTGCTTATTACTTCATCTTTCTCTTTTATCCCTCTTCTCCCCCTTTCACTGTCAGAAAATTAAATAGCTCTCTTGTGATCCTCAACTGACTTTGTCTGTGGTTCAGTGGATTTTGACAGGAAAAAAAATTATCTATCTCTACAATGCTATAATATAGCATTTATATATCCTGTTAAAAATATGTGGCCTGGATTCTCAGTTTTTCAGATTTTCATACCAAAAACCCTACTCAACTGTGAAAGAACTCAGCTAGAGTAAATGAACTTTAATAACTGCCTAAAGAACAAAAAGGGACAAATAATTAGATAGTGAAAAGTACATGTAAAAATAATATAATATGAAGTGTTTAAGCCCGCTGGAGATTTACTTGAAATTCTTAAAGGAAAGACAAAAGTTTGCTTTTTTTGGTATTTACTACTTACCTTAAGGAAGTATCACTTGAGGATCATACCTCAAAGTATATATAGAGAAACTTAATTGAACCACTGAAAATACATATTATGAAATACTCGGAGTTTTCCTACAAATCTTTCCTATGTAAGTCACTTCTGGCATGAAATTGAATCTACAACCAGCACAAAGTAATCAGATCATGTGATGAAAGAAGCATAAGCAATTTTAACCTCATCAAAGAGAAAATGAATAGTATAGTTTCAATTTGCTGCAAATTGAAGGAATGTGAATTCTAATCAGCCTTGTGGGTTAATATCATGGAACAGAATTGGATTTGAGATAGTGCATTTTATATTTCATGTATCTAAAATTGCTTTAAAAAATGAATAATGCAGTGACTGTGTAGACAAATAAGGTAACATTCAGGTTAGTACTAATACACATAGTAATGTTTTGGGCCATTTAAATAAAAAAACTTGAAAACCTTTCATTTGAAAAATAAATTATAAGCATAGAATTTAAAATGTTTATAGAATTCAATGCTAGAGATATGGAAGGCCCACAATAGACGTTTTATTTTACCTTAATATATTTTAGTAACAAACTTACAGCAATAGTACAGAAGACAGACATTAAAAGCTTAGACTTGCCTGTAGGACAACACAGATAGAAAAGCATAGTGATTGGGTGGAATCTACCATGTTAAAAAGAATTGAAAACACTAATTACCACCAATAAGAAATTTTCTTGTTTAAAAAAATCCAAATGTCCAGAAAATTTAACATATTTGTTTATAATTTTTATAAAGTTGAATCATTGAAACTTATTCATGGAAATATTTTTGGCTATATTAATATTTTATATCCTATAAACTTGAATATTTATATTCAAAATTCACTCACAAATGAAGTGGGAAAATTGACAATACCTAATTTTGCCAGTTTTTTCCATTCACAATCATGTATGTCCATATTTTTAATGTTGCTGTTTTTTGTGCTATTCCTTCAAGTTTGCTATTAAAATACATTAAACTAAAATTATGTCTATTCTGGGCCTTCCCTGTCTCTAGCACTTAGGCACCTTTTGGCCCCATGAGGAAAATTATAGAATGTTCAGAACTACCAATAACAGGAAGAAGAGATTATTTTTTGTTTTGAAAATGACAAGTACTTCCCATCATAGTGGAATTTAAGTATATTCTCCATGTATGATGCTTAGTGGATATCCTTTGGCTTGATTGTGACATTGGCATAGGTAATATATAGGTTGGTGTCCTCAAATAGGAGGCTAACCAGATAGGCTTCTCTTGCCTACTGCAAAACACCAAATGCTGCACACTGGAAGTGCAGATCTGTTTTGAAGTCATGAGTAATCTCAGGCCTCAGGTACTGGGCTTACCAATCAGTTCAGTGGACTTGTGATAAATGTCTGATTTCATGGAGAGCCATGATATCAATGTAGCCTATTGCAGTGGGATTTCTTGACTCTTTCAGCAGAGGGTCACATTCTTTCTGCTTTTTTTATGACTTTTTTTAGTGAGCTGATCCTAGGGTGCTTTACTACCCATAGAATTGTAGTCAGTTTGCTTGGTGTAAAGAATGTTCCTGAAAACTTCTCCTTATATACTTTGCTTCTCTTTTGACTTGGGCTCAGAGAGCGAGAGTTAGTAGACTTTCATTCTAATTATGTAGGACTGCTTAGCAGTGACCACTGTATTTATTATGCACTGGCCTTCTCCTCCCCCAGAAGACCAGGGGGAAAGATTCTCACAATTCCATGTTTGTTAGGCAGTTTCTAAGGGTCACCATTATTGCTGCTTCCTCAAGTTGAAAATGGGTTAAAAGTGAAAATATTTGATTATCTTCTGATCAGACAGAACAGGTCCTTGACCATAAGGATTTTTAAAGAATTTCATTTTTTTATTCTTAACTTAATAATAATCAACCAACATTTCAAGAACAGGAAAGAGGATAGTGTAAGAGATCATCTTATGTATAAGGAATTGTAAATGGTTATGTACAGTTCTCTCTCTCCCTCTCTCTCTCTCTCTTTCTCCCTCTCTTTCTCTCTCTGTCTCATTCTCTCTTTTTCTTTCTCTCTTTCTCTCTCCAAATATATATGATTTCAGAATCTCCTGGAAAAACTTACATGAACTGATGCAATGTGAAGTGAGCAGACCTGAGGAGACATTGTACACAGTAACAGCAGTATTGTACAGTGATCAACTGTGAATGGCTTAGCTATTCTCAGCAATACAATGATTCAAGATAAGTCCAAGGGACTATGATTAAAAAATGCTGTCTACCTCCACAGAAAGAATTGATGGAATCTGAATGTAGATCAAAGCATACTATTTTTTCATTTTCTTTATTTTTTGTGTTATTTTGTTTTTGGTCTGTATCTTCTTTCACAATATGACTGATATAGAAATATGTTTTGCATGATTGCACGTGTATAATATATATCAATTTGCTTCCCATATTAGGGAGGGGGGAGGAGATGGAGAAAGGGAGAGAACTTGGAACTCAAAATAAAAAAAAATGTTCAAAATTATTTATACATGTAAATGAGAAAAATAAAATATTATTCAAAAATAAAAAAGAAATATATCTATTTAATATAATTGATGTTCAAATTTTTTTCAGGTCTATCACTAACCTATCACTCACCTTCTCATTTGCCCACCTTGGCCCCAGAGTAGAAGGCTTCACTTTGTAACATATGTATAATCAGCAAAACAAACTGAACATAGCTAGATACACTGGCCCCGTCTGAGAATTTATGTCTGATTTTCCTCTCAAGAGGTAGGAGATAAATTCTTCTCAAGCGGTAGGAGATAAGTTCCATCATCAATCTTTTGAAGTCTGGACTGGTTACTGATTTTG